CCCTTGTAAAAGTATTTTAAACTGTATAAAAAAAATTGAAATCAATTGTGAAAATCCATTCCTTATATAGGACGTTCTCTCCTGTTCCACCTTATATTTTATTATTAATAATAAGGAAGAAAAAAAGGTCACCGGTTACTGATTCGCGAACATAGGCTATGAAAAAAGATTACCGGTTACACTATATAATTCGCGATGTTATTTATTTTTAGTGTTGTGATAGATCTTGTTAAAATGAAAAAATTATTCACTTCATTTTGCTAATTTTCATGAATTTATTAGTGCTAAACAAGTTATTTTCTTTAGTTTATATGTAATATAATGACTTATTAATAAAAATTTTTAGTAACCTTGGCTTTGCAAATATTTCTGATATTCATCATTATGCAAGAATAGATTTTTATTAGTATTTTCTAATAATATCTAGTGTTTGGGAAAAGTTATTGCATTTTATGAAAAACGTGGACAAAGACATGCATGGGTTGAAAAGCCTACAGGACTTTTAGATAATTTATCATATACCGTAAAGTCTGGAAAGATAGCATTCCCTTTTTACATATGTGTAACATTTTTTTTATATTGACGCTCAATTGTTTTAAAGTAGGGGGTGCTATCTTTCCAGACTTTACGGTATTTCTATTAAAGTTTATATTCCAGTATCTCAAACGGTATTTTTCATGTGAAAACATGGCAGGAGGTGACTTTACAATCATATTACACACACAAGATGTAGTTTATTTTCTGGGGGGCATGTTCATATTCCAATGTGAATTCTAATTTGATTTTAGTAGATAATGAAATTTTTTTTATTTACAATTATTTTAGTATGTCAAATACACAAAATTTGCTTTCAAGAATTTTAATTGATAAATAAGTCTGCCTAAAAAAATTTGCATGTCACAGGCCATATTGATTCGCATCATTAATAAATTGTTTAAATGTTACCATTGAATTGTTTCGCCCAATTATAAAAAAGCAAGATTCGCGTTAATATGATCAGTTGCTTAATTTGGCGGTGACATTCAATAGAGTTTTCCCAGTCCTATTCACATATGCATAGTCACGTTTTCGTGATATAAACTTTATTAAATCAATAACGTCAATCAATATCTAAAAGGATTTACTTTTTTTTTTTTTTTTTTTTAAACTAAGACTTCATTTCAAATTTATTAAACTTAGTAAAATATAATTAATACATGTTACATATAACGTTACCAAAAAAGAAATAATGACCCGCCACCCATGATACAAAGTAAATTGATGGAAGATCCAAGCCTTGCATTGGCTACCAGGATTTGAACAGGCCAACTGAATGTTTTAAGGCTAGGCCACCCGCATCCGTTCTGAAGATAACCAACACACAACTAATCTATTAAAGAACCTGAATAATATTGTAACCATTCCTCCCCTAATATTATAGATTTAAGAACTCCATCTTGACCAGAAGCTAAACTATGTTGAATATTATTTCTATTGTTAATACTAGAACTAGAGGAACTATTGTTTGGTTTCTTTTTTATTTTTTATTTTTTATTTATACCAGCATGTTCTTCTTCTAAAATAAATTGGTCACAACGAGGTGACCATATAAATTGTTCTATATCTAGGAAAATATTATTTAAGAAAACAGAAATAATGTTTTGTGTTATACTTTTGTTTTTTGAAGAGTTGTTAATAATCTTGGCCAATGATAAAGGTGCCACTCCTTTGATTAAGTCAATAAAGTTAAACTCATCTTCATTGCTATTAATTTTCCATATGGATTCATTTTGAAGATCTCTTGTTGAAAATTGTTTGTTGTTTGTAAACATTTTAACCAATTTAACTAAACGTTTTTTGTTGTTAAAAATAATTGAATCTATAATATTTTTTTGATTTTTGCATTTCCATACATGTTCAAAAGTTTCTATTTCATCACGACACATTGGACAATTCCAATGTTTATATAAGTCAGTGTGACTTTTTTTAACATGCTCTACTGTAGGTAATTCTTTAGTTAGATATTTGATCCTTCTAATTTTAATATGACTTGCCTTGAATGATGTATTTGTTGACACTTCATCATCGTTTAATGCAGCAAATTAAGAGCACCAATCCACATCTACTTCACAATATTTGTTGTTTCTGTATAAGTTAATAAATTGTTCAAAACCACGATTTCTTGATAAATCTGTAATAAAATGTCGTAAATGCTTTTCTACAATTATATTGTTCCAACGCGGAATATATGAGATTGAGAATAAATTGTCCAGAATAAAAGTTATTGGTAATGAATTATAACCATGCATCAATCTGGCTAATTCATCCACTTTGTTGTTAAAATGGTCACCACTGTGACCCTTGACTTTAACAAAATTTAAATTAATATTATTAATGTTGACATGTCATTAAGAATTGTCCATAATAAACTGTTTGAAGCTTCTTTAAATATATTCCTTAGCATCAACAGGTACTTGGAATTTTGTAGTGTATTAAAATGTTTGATAGAAGCTTTGCTGTCTGTGAAAATAGTGATCTGTGAGTTCTTTGGAGAAATTAATAATGCTATGATAATTGCTGCTACTTCAGCACGTGTTGATGATGGCCATTTTTCTATTGTAGCAGAGAAAGATATTTGAGGAGCATTCAATGCTGTTTGTAGTATTGCGAAGCTCATTGACATTTGTATAGTTCCCTATCTAAAAGGATTTACTAATTTTCTCTTATATACTTTGATTCGTGATCCACCAGTTAAGGAAAGGATTTAATAGTAAAACAAACAAGTTTACAAATGAGGAAGCAAAGTGAGCCATCAAGATTTTCATTTATGTCTTGAAAAAAATTATTGTAATTTGTTTCACAATTTTTTCAAAATTTATATACTCATTAATAACATGTCTATCTACCTTTATGCAATCAAAATCAAAAGATAATATATCCAGAGAATCCCACGAGATCTGTCCTGTGGCAAACATACATGACTTAGATGTGCTATTAGTCCATCTACTTGCACATGAAACAGTTCTTCATTTGTTGGCATTACTATTTCTGGTGTTGCTTTTCTCAAGATAGCAGCATACACACAATTTTGTTAGTATTGCATAATTGGTTGCTCAAAAGGTTTCCAACAGTTATTTTTATCTATAAATATATGTATATGTGTATAAATTATATGTACAGTATATAATAAATTATATTTATATGTATGTATATATATGTTTTAATTAAATAAATTTCTCACCTATTTTTTTTCTAACATTTTTTGTTATATGTTTCAGACCTGCTGTTCTCCCCTTAGAGTTTTATTGCTATCAAGATCACCATCAACACATATATCTAAAAGCATATCATGTTGGTCAAGTATTGGTGTAATTTTATTTAGAATAGCAATTAATATTGCATGTTCCATCTGTTTGGACATCAGGAAATTTTTCTGACATGGATTTACGTAATTATTACACTATTTACGTAAGTTTACGGCGGGCCCATAATATTATGCAAATAAGCATACAAAAATTATGCAATTATTACATCGAGTGTAAATATTACATAATTTTTATGCAAATATTACAACTTTACATATTAAAATTTACGGATGTAATATTGCGGCAGGGAAAATTTCCTGATGGATAATTTTCTTGGTGAAGGATCTTAGAATCTACAGTTTCATTCCTGATGATTCTAGATTTTCAACAACATGATAGGCAATAACTGGTTTGTGATTGTAATCTATAAATCAGGTAAGTATATTGCAAGTTTATTTATTTCTCTGTTATTTTATTTCTTAATCTAATAAAAAATATATAATTATCAAGATGATTTCCTTGAAATATAAATTCTCCACTAGCTTGATTTGCATTCCTTAGATGTGACCATGAAGTATCAAAACTAACAGAAAGGATATTCCGATCAAGAGATTTGACATGATTTATACATTCCATTGGTGTGTCTTTTGCACTCTCCTCTGCTTCTGTAGTCAAATTTTGGAAAAATCTTTTCTGGTTGTTATGAATTGTTTTTTTTTTTCATATTTGGTTAGCTGTTCCCATTGATGCAAGGAAGGTCTCATTTTGTTGATGATTCAATCCAGCTACCAAACTTGAGCCTGTAGCTAACAAATTAAAACCTGAATTAAGAGGTTCATCAGAATATTCAGCAATGCTATCACGCATAAGACACCTAATTGTTATTTTCATAGAAAACCAACATTGAATATTTCATATCTTTTGTTATTTATAAATTAACTTCACAATTAATGCAGGGTAGCCCAAGTAAGGTATTGTTGATTTGCGTTAATGAAAATAGTAGAGCCAAGATTGTTGTTGTTTATTGCTTGTTTTACAACATCATTAATATCATCTTGTTCTATTAATTGTTCATCCACATGACTTGTGGATTCATGATCTCTTGTTACATTTTCCTTTGCACATTTATATTTTTTATTTGCCTGGTAATATATTCTACTAACAAGCCTTGTGTGGCTTTATTATCCAATTCTAGGCCCCTTTCATCAATGATAATACCACTCTACTTTTTTCATTGTTGTATGTGGTGAGAAGTTTTCATTAGCACCAGAATTCCCTTTCACAATGATTTCTCCTTTTCTTTTCATTTGTTTTTGTATAGATTTGGTTTTTTTTCATTTTCAAGAATTCTTTTGTCTGTGAAATTTATAAAAGTATCAGGATATTTTTGAATTTCAGCAGCTCTTAAATAATTCACATTTTCTGGATTGCTTAATCCTAAAATATTAGGTATTGAAATATGCCCTTTTCTTCTATCTTTTATATATGAATGAAAAGAAGAAAAAAATCAGAATTTGATGTTTGATAAATAACTTGTGTTAATGTTTTATCATTTCCATAATCTACCCAAACATGATTCCAGGAATTATTGGTACAAGTGTCTTGCCTTCTTTATCTGACATGCCTTTGACTACAATTGTTGATAAAATGAATTTAATAGAGCTGTGTTATGTTCAACAACTGCATGCTTTTCTTTAACCTTCAAAGTGTATGTATCATCTTGAACAAAACACCTTGACCTTCAAATGCCTTATATTGGGGATTTCGTTTGCATAGTTCCTGGTGCCACTTCATATTCTATTAAGATATAACTACTTTCTCATATTAAAAAAATGAAATAAATTAGCAAGAAACTCAAATAAAAAAAGTCTTTTATTAGCATATATATTGAGTCTATAAGAGTATATTTAGTGTTTCCTATATGTTAATTAGTTATTTGAAAATATTTTTGAGCTTTAAGTTAAAAAAACTAAAATTTGTATATAATAATAAGTGGTTTTTTTTGGTTTTGGTATAATTGTGATAATTATGTTTATTTTTATGCATCTTACATATGTAGCATATTTTTTAAAATTGAACTCCAAAAAAATTGGCCATTGTTGATCATATTAAATGTCACATGATCCCCCTTAAAGGCTTTTTTTATTAAAAAAATACAGTGAACTTTCTCTAAGTGCAACCTCGTCAAATGCATTTACTATGTTTTGCTTCATCTGAATGCAAGCCTGATATAGTTCTAAATTATAAAACCTCTACATATTTTACTCTCTATAAATGCAATCCTTCTCTAAATGCATGTAATGATTGATTTTCCGTCAAGTTGCATTTAGGGAGAATCACTAAAATAATTTATATTGATATTAAGGGTAAATCTAAAACACAATGGGCAGTTGTATCATCAAGTTTGAATTTTCCTAATGTTAATATGGTATATTATTAAATCAATGAATTTAATTAATTTGCCCTTCTATTGTTAATGGTAATAGGGACAATAGGGACATCAAATCATTCAAGAAGATTTTGGAATCTAGTAATATAAGTTAAGCGTTAGCATATGTTTACATTTCATATTAAAACTGTTAGTTCTATAAATTTTTCATGTATTTATTGTGTACAATTTTATCTAAAATTTGTTTCCACAATTGAATAAATTCCAATTCTGTATTTTTGTACAATCAGAAATAAGATTTTACAAAGCTCTATTCTCTGAAACTTTTGGGCTTATATATATAATCAAAAAATATAATTTATCTGTATATAAAAATATAATTTATGTCCATATCGTCATCTTTACTGTTACCACTGTCATCACCATTATTGCTGTCTTCTGCATCGTCATCTTCTTCTTTGCCTTCATCATCACCATAGCCACCATTGTCACTATTGTCACCACTGTTGCTGTGTCTTCCCTGTTGTTATAGTTGTTGAAGTTGTCTTTGTCTTCGTAATCTTTTTTTTCAATTTTTGCAGCCGTAACTCCCATCTGAGCAGGATATCATTTATTTCGATGTTGTCGTCGTTTTTAGTGTTGCTAGCTGACTAGTTGTAGTCGCAGCTAAAGATTTTATATGTAGCTGTGACTGGAAATTTTTCAAGTCGATTGATTGGATTCAGCCATAAATTATTACAGTCTTAATGTTACTGTGATATTAGATAGTTGTGGCCAGTGTATAAAATTCGATGTTTGAACTGTTGTTTTGATTGAAATTTTTTTCCAAATTTGTACTAGTTACACAACGAACCTCAAAATTGAGCGTGATAGGTACTATTTATGATCCTATGGAAAGGAAACATCAAATTTCTTAAAATCCCTACTTTAACATAATAATAATAATGTTTTTAAACGCATCAATTCTTTCCCAGCTGGGGCGAGCTTTTTTAAGACATTCTACATTAAATTTTTTTCTGTGAATTTTTTTCTTGGATGACTGGATTTGATTTCAATTATTTGGCAATGATACAAAAAATAGCTTTTAAACAAATAGTGAGGTTAATAATAAATCTACTTTGGAACATTCTAAGCATTTTTTTTTTTTATTAAGATTAAAAAACATGTTTTGTATTAGTTTTTAAAAAATATTATCGGTGATTTTTGATGAGTATATATTTAATTAATTAGTCGAGGCTAGAAAAAAACCAGTCGACTGGCCACGGCTTACAGTTAGTTCTCCAACCGGTTATTTTAAGAAACAATAAAATCCATCATGATTCGCATCAATCACATGATCTAACAACCTAAAATTTTCTTTTTTTTTGATACAGGTATCATTTCAAGTAGAAGTTAATTTAATCAATGCAATTTGATTTGATTAATAGATTTCTCTTTACTAAAATTTGATTATAACAATTCAGAAAAATTACAATAGTATAACAACTGTTGGTTGTTTCACATGATACCCAGGTTGGTTTTTACTTTATATCAGAATAAATTATAGTATTTATTAACAAAAACTTCCATTTTATTAGATTTTACATGATATATATATTTTAGATGATGGGGAAAAAAACAATCTAGTATAGTCACATTTCTATTCGATCAAAATAAAGAACAGGTCTGCTGGTGTAACCAGAGTAGATGAAAATGTGACTTGCACCCATTTAATGTTGATTGGACAATAACAATAAGCACAAAGTGTTCTAATTTTCATATTAATATTGAATTTTTTTTCAATCCTATTATTTTTGCTAGTCAATTTTATTTACTTATTTAATTTTGAGGCTATATTTATTAATCAATATAGACATTAGCCATGTATCATCCACCCCGAGGAGGTGTTAGAGGAGGAAGGGTAAGATAAAGTTTATTTTTGTTCCTTGGACTTATTATTGCTAATCGGTAAATAAATAATAAATTGTTTTTCTCCTGAACCAATTGAAAAACTAGGATCAATTTAACTGTAAGTTTTTCTGTTACTTGCATTTTTCAGGAATTATTAATGTCAAAATTTTAAAAATTGTAATTTTTTCCTTTCTTAGGGGAGTAAGTATTTTGATTCGAGATAAGGTCAAAAACAACAACTTTTTTCTTCCCCTGTAATAAAATTTTTGTATATTTTAATCAGAGATGTCAAAACAGACAAACATAGAGAAAATTATCTTGGTCATTCCCTTCATGCGCCTGTAGGAAGGTAATTAATTATTAATCGATTTTAAATAATTAGTTAAAATAATATTATGAAATTTAATCAATTGATTTTTCTTAGATGGCAACAAGGTAAAGATCTGACATGGTACTCGAAAGAATCAAAAAATGATCAGGCGCGTAAAGAAGAAATCAAATCAATCAAAGAGGCTGAAGCAGAAGCAATGGCCGAATTATTGTAAGAAAAGGATGATAATCAAATCAATGGACCAATTGAATAGATTGTTATAACTTAAAAATTAACATGTCTGGTTGGTTTGTTTAATAGGGGAGGCGGTAAAAAAAGAAAAATCACAGGAAATGTATCACAACAAGAACTTAAAACTGTTTTAAAAAGAGAACAAGAAGGCTACGATGACGATGGCGGTGGTATTGGCGAAGAAGAAGATATCAAAGAGGTAACTAAAGGACTGGGGTTTAAAAGGTTTGTTTTTCATAATAATCATAAAAGAAATTTTTATTTTACTGGCTTTGATTAAATTAAAAATAATGATTTCGAAAAGCTCCGGACATTTATCTATTGGTGAGGTGGAGCTAGGTGATACTGAAATAATAGGTGCAGTAAATATTCCAAAAGATGAAAGAAAAGTAGAAATAAAAACTGAAGAAAGCATACATCCTAATTTAAAGAAATCTGCAGTTCGTACAACTGACGAACAAAAAATATCAAAGAAACGTAAAAAGGATAAAGGTAGAGAACGAGAAAAAGAACGAGATAAAGAACGAGATAAAGAACGAGAAAAGGAAAAGAAAAAACACAAGAAGCATAGGAGTCACAGAAAAGATAAAAGGGATTAACAAATAAATCAGAGAGGAGTTGAATATATCTCTCAAATATATCGTATATAAAAGCAACAAGTTAAATTATCATATTTAAGTATTATTTCATATAATGGTAATTATTATCATCACACATCAATCCTCATAAGGATAAAGAGGATTAGATATTAGACATTATTGAATATATTTTAATATATTATAAATTTCTTTTTAGATAACAAATAATAAATAATATTTATCACGTATTTTTTTTTTTATGATTTTGAAGAAAACTTTTTAGTTGCGGCTTCAAGCAAATAACCAAGTTCATTGCTTTCCTCACAAAGTTTCCTAAATAAGCTGTCTTGTTTTTGTAATAAATTATAAGGCGTGTCAAATTCTGCAACTTTTCCTTGTTCTATAGAAAATTGAATTATCGTAAATATATATATATATATATACACAGTCAAAGGTAAAAATTATCTTTTAAAAAGATTGTAAATAAACTTACCGAGTACCAAAACCTTTAAAATAATAACGATTTTTTAAAAAAGATTGTATTTAATTGAGAATTTTTTTAAAAAATATTACAAATCAAATTAATTTACCTTATCGTAATCAATAATTGTTCTTAGTCTATGAGCAATACATAATAAAGTTGCCCAGTTAAATTCACTACGAATGGTGTTTTGTATATTGTAATCAGTTTCTACGTCAACACTTGCAGTGGCTATAAAAAAAAGAGACGCGTTTATTATATTGATTTTTTATAGTCAAATCAAGTCAAAGCTTTATTTTCTACAAACCTTCATCCAACACAATAACAGGCGACCTCCTATAATTTCAAATAACTAATGTTAATATTTATATTTATACGTACACACCTAATTTAACAATAATTCAAATTACCTCAACAAAGCTCTTGCTAAACATAACAGTTGTCTTTGCCCTTGACTAAAGTTATTGCCACCTTCTAAAACTTTGGCTTGTAACTTATTCTCCAACTTCAAAATATAATCTTTTAAATGTGCACTTTGAAGCACTTGCCAAATCTCAACGTCATCGTGTGCGTCAAATGGATCAAGATTAAAAGCAACGGTACCTTTTTTAATACAATTATTAATACAATTTGCATATAAAACAATTAAATACGAGATAACATGAGAAATTAAATAAATTACCTTCAAAAAGAATCGGATCTTGTGGAATGATCGTAAGACGTGAACGTAAGTCATATAATCCAATTTTTGATATGTTAACACCATCCTAATAATGATGATGTTAATGATGATGATAATGACAATCAAACAAAATTTAAAACAGTGCAACTAAAAACCGACCAAAAATCAATAAAATTGATTATACATACCACTATAATTTCACCATCAACAGCTTCTATCAATCTAAACAAACTTAATGTTAAACTTGATTTCCCTGCGCCTGTTCTGCCAACAATGCCAATTTTTTCTTTGGGTTGTATTTTAAATGTAACTCCCTTTTAAATGGAAAGAGGAATGAATAACAATCAAATTGCAGATTATAATTTATATATTATTATCATTATTTATTATTTTGTTTTTAAAAATAAAGCTCAATACTAACTTTTAACACTAGTTCAAGTCCTTCGCGATAACGAGTCGAGTAATCATTATATTCAATTAATCCACTGTGAGGCCAAGTTGGTGCAGGTCTATTATCGTGAATAACAAGAGGTGCTTCACTTGGTAATTCAATATACTACAAGGTTTTAATTAAACCAAATCAAATTAGATTAAATAAAACAGCAATCTTATAACTAATGTAATCTTGTAATAAACACAATAATAAAATATTACCTCTTTAACTCTTTCAACGGATACTATATTGGTCTATATTTTGCAAAAGAAAATAATCATATTTTCAATAATTTTAATTTTAAAAAAATAAAAAAAAAAAAGTTCACAAAAAACCTTACCTCAATCTCACAAAATTGTCTAACTGCCCAATTTAAAGCTTGAGTAACACTAAGAGCATAAGTTACAGACAATCCAACAAGACCTGCATCAATATTTCCTGTAGTTAATAAAGTGACAACAGCTAAAATTGATGCGGAAAATATTATCAATGAACCTAAAAAAAAAAGATCAAATTAACTGGCATTCATTACTCTGAAAATAAATAACTTGAAAAAATAATGATAATAATATTTATTTACCCAAAAATTCTAATCTAACAGCCAACCATCTATTACATGATATAGATGGAAAATAGGCCTTTTGATTTTCATCTAGTCTATTTTCATTTTCTTCAATAAATCTATCAGTTTGCTGATAAGCTCTTATAGTAGTTACGCCGCCTAATGTTTCTTGAAAATGTGCGTAAATGGGAGATCTTGTTACTGAATCCAATCTTTTTAATTCTCTTGATGTAGATAAATAGTAAACTTGGATATACCGATATACAAATACTAATTTATAAAATATATTCCAACAATATTTAAGTTAAAAATAATAATTTTTAAGAAAATGATAGGAAAAATAATAAGGTGATATATGATTAAAACTTACTCATTGGAACAATAACAATAATAAACAATGGTGTAGAGAATGCAATAACTAAAATAGTTGCCAATACATAAAATATTGTTCTAAAATATCCCGCAAATGTTCTTGGCAAAACTTCATCTATAGTGTACTGATCTTTGCTAAATCTATTCAAAATACGTCCTAATGGAGTTGTATCCTTAAAAAATAACATTAGAGAAATTACAAGAATTAATAATGTTTCAGTTAATTTAAAAATTTATTGATAATATTAATACTCACAAAAAATGATGTTGGAGATCTATAATAATAAAAAGACAATTAAATTTATTTTGACAAGGAAATAATATATAGAAAGATTGATAATAATAACACAAATTATAAAATTTGAAGTATTTACCTAACAACACTATTCAACATATCTTCATGTAACTTTCGAGCAGCTCTATTTTTTTTTTGAAAAAAAAGAAAATATGTATTAGACTATGGATGTTCTTTATAATTTATAAATTTCAAAAATCTTGATTATAACCTACCGAATAGTGCAAAATACCAAAAGTATAATGGTTTGAATGATTGTCAAGACAGAATACAATAGCCCAATCATACCATAAAGTCCCAGATATATTAATACATTGTCATTGTCATTTTGAGAACTCCAATATTTTAAAAATACATTGGTTCCTATTATATTAAAATCATAAAAATAAATTTAAATTTCATATTTTATATATACACAAAAACTAAAAAATCAACCATTAAAATCCTTATCAAAAAAAAGTTATCACGCATACCGATTTGAGCGCCTTGAGCAATAATCAACATAGTCAAATAGAAAACTACAGCAGGAGTCGAGCAAGATTCAGCATATGCTTTATAAACCGACCACTGGACACTTCCTTTAGCAGCTTCTTCTTTGACAATAATGGCATCTTTATTGGTTTCTAAATCTTGTTTTTTGTTTCTAACAGTAATAAGAGATGGTCGACGGTGAATGCTTGCAACACTGACTCTTCTTTCATTAGGACTTTGACTGGTTTCTTCCAGTTTTTGAACGTGACTTTGTTTACCAATTTCATGAGTCTCTATGGTGCTAGGGCTTGATACTTCTTCTTCTTCTTCGACAATTTCTTCTTGACCAAATTCGCTAATCAAATTATATAATTCCAATTTTTGTTTCATTAAAGATTCAAAATTTCCTTGTTCAGTAATCTTTCCCTCACGCAACATCACAATAAAATCAGTTTGAGAAAGGTAATGTATTCCGTGCGTAACAAAAATTCGTGTTTTTTTCCTTAATAAACCATTGGAACCTATGACCTTTTCAAATATATGCTTGCCTTTAAAAAAGATATAATAATAGTAAAAAGATGAGATTCTTAATTAATCGTAAGATAATTAATATGCAATATTATAGAACTATAATAAGTTACAATATACATATATGTATGTGTGTGATTTTTTTTTAAAAAAAAAAAAAACATACCAACATGTGCATCAACAGCTGATAGCGTATCATCTATTTGAATAAAAATGAATATTTTTATTATTTTCAATTATGATGTCCAATTAAATTAAAATAATCGATTGGTTTTTTTTACCTAATAAATATATATCAGCACGAGAATAAACTGCACGAGCTAAAGCAACTCTTGCCTTTTGTCCACCTGAAAGGTTAATACCTCGTTCACCAATTTCAGTTAAATCACCACCGGGAAGAATTGCGATGTCTGATTTTAAACTACAAGATTCAATAACCTCTGTCAACCCCCCCCCCCCGAATGATTGAATTAATATATGCTTAAAAATATATGTGTATATTATTTTTCTCGCAATTAAAAAACTTATATTACCATCATAAAAATCAGGCTCATACTTATAACCAAATGTGATATTATCTCTAAGTGTTGCATTCATAATCCATGCTTTTATTTTTTAAAATTTTATTTATTGAAGTAATGATATTATATATTATATAGTAGTAGAACATTAGATAAGAAAATTGTACCTGATTGTGGAACATATGCTACACTTCCTCTCACCACTACTTCTCCATTTATTTTTTCTGTTTCACCTAACAAGGCAGATAATAGTGAAGTTTTTCCAGAGCCTATTGAGACAAAAAATTAATCGAAAACTTTTATTTAAATTAAAAAATTAAATTTTTTTTTTTTTTAATATTGTAACAAAATCTTACCAACTCTTCCAACAATAGCGCACAATTCTCCAATTTTAACACTGAGATCAATATTTTCTAAAACAGGGTCCAATACTTTTGACCAACTGAAAATGCCATTTTTTACCGAAACCATTTCAACTCTATTTCCGGACGAAGCATCAAATTGCTTGGTACGAATTACAGCTTTAGGATCAAGTTCATCAGCCTTCAAAAAATTTTCCATGCGGTTTAAAGCAACAGACGCTTCCACAGTAGAAGAAATTACGCTCGGGAAAACGGAAAGAGGAAATTGAAGTAAATTGAATAACGTCAAAGCGACAAATACAACCTCATAAGTTAATGGTTGATTTGAGACCAATGCATAAACAGCAAATGCTGCAAATGAAACAAGGAAAGGCTAATGATAATATAAATGGATTTGTATATGTGGAAGAAGAATCCGAATCAGTTAAAGTTATGCAATAGGTTGATTGTTATTATGCTTGCTTACTGTAGATGACCATGTAAAAACTTGTAAAGAGCTAAGATATCCCAATTTTTTCAAAGTTTCTAACTCCAAATCATTCCTAACATGAAAGATCTTATAAAAATAATATTATGAGAAAAGCTTACAATATTATACATGAATAACTAATTTCGTCATCAAAAATTTCCAAAGTAAAAATTTGTACCTTTCTCAAAAAAGCGGATTCCCAAGCATAAAGTTTAATAACTTTGATTCCATTAAGTATTTCATTCTTGGTAAATTAAAATATAAGAATTTAGGATACACAATCAAATCTGGTGAAATTCACAAGAATAATTATAATAGGAATTTACCATTAATCTGATTCTTTCGTCTTTATTAACCATTTGTTTCTTTTGTAGAGTTCTCATTTTTCCAGCAAGAAATGCATTAACAGGCAACATCATTAACATAACACCAACACCGGCAAAAATACTAGCACCCATTGTTTCATATAAGAGGTATAAGGCCAAGAATATTTGTAAAGGACCTGACCAAATTATGTGTAGGTATGTGCATAGATCCATAAATCTTTGTGCGTCCACACTCATATCTTAATATATATGTATATATTACATGTTTGTTAATTACAAAAGCCCAATGAAACAATTTATATGCTTATTTTTTAAAATAAAAAAAACATACGGTTTACAATTTCTCCAACTGTAGATTTTTGACGAGCGCTGTTTGAAAGATTAAGTGATTTTTGATAAATTGCAGATATCAGACCAGCTCTAACCTATTTTTTGTATTATTATTATCAAGGGGTTATTTATTATAATCTTGTAAACAAAAAAAAAAAATCCAAAAAAAAAATCACTCAAGGCTACCCTCATTCCAGTTGTAAAACATAATTGAAAATATTGATGTAAAAACACAGTCTGAAGTAAAGCTGTTAAAAACATTAATGCTAAAATTCAAAAAAAAAATTTTTTTGATCAATCAATAAATATGTGTATGTAAATTATGTATGTGTATAAAATAAAATTCCAGGCATATTTATATTATTATACCTGCAATACAATAACCTCTATATGGAGGTAATGGATCATTTGTATCATAACTTTTGACAAAAATTATCAATTCTCTTAAAAGTAAAGGTTGCACGAAGTTTAAGCAATCCTGTATTGCTTTAAATATCTTTAAGTGAACAAGGTATACGAAGAAAAGATTATTAAATGATAATGATGATAATAATTTATGTGACAATTAGTAAGATTAATATGTACCGCCGCAAAAGCAAATGGGCCACCAAAAGTTATTGCACAAGCCTTTAACAAAGACGGACTATTGATATAATAAATTAGTATATGGTTTTTGAGTAATTATTAATTTATAAAATTTTTTAAACCAAATGATTCGATTGAAAATAATTTTTACTTTTTTTTGGATAATTCTTTTTTCCAAATTTGCTCAAATTTTTGAGATATTCTATGAGATTGATCATTGTAATTCAAGTTCCTAAATGTTTAGGAATATTAATTAAAAAGTTGATTTTTATATATTACAATAAAATATAAAATAATGTTATTTTACCATAAATCATCCATTGTTAAATATTTTTCATGGCCAAGTTTCATAAGTGGAGTCATCCAGTAAAAGGTAATTCGTGAATAAATATTTGATCTTGACTCTGGACAACTTTGCTGTTTAATTAACAATAGTTGTTGGTTTAATAAAAATCATTTATATATATAAATTAAGTATGAATCTAAATTTAACTACGTTATCTTCATTAATGAGTAAATATTCACTCCTTGGCCTAGGAATAAGATCCAAGATAAATATAATTAATGCCAAAACCAATGTTGATACAAATGAAATTATCAAGACAGGATTTGAAAATTGATAATCCTTGTTGACGAAAGTTCTCAATTTTATCAATCCAACAATTAAATAAATTGGCCAGTACAATAATAAAACAAATGATGCTACATAACTATTTTTGTATGATTTTTGATGAAGCATTAAAGCCAATATCTAAATAAATCATTAAGCATTAATAAATTTAAATAAATTAATTTTGAACCTTTATAATTATAAAATATTTTACCATGGCCAATACATTAATAAATGATGAAAAGACTATTATGTCTAGAATATGTAAATTAACTTCAAGTATTGAAATTCCAAATAAGACTAGGCTCAAGGTGATCAACATTGATAAGCATGCCTGAAATAAAGAACTTTAAGTTTTTATTTTAATAATAATAATGAGGATTTTTTGAAAGTACCAGTTTCATATAATGCCATTTTTGAAATTCTTCATAAGGAGTAATGCTGTGATTTTTTGATAATCGATATAATTCGATGGAACCGCAAATTATAAACAATAAGTTTATGGGCAAAATTAAAGCACTAATGTAAAAATATTAATAAGCATTAATGAAAAGTTTTATTGATTATATTGAATGAATGAATGAGTGAGTGAATGAATGAGTGAGTGAGTGAATGAATGAGTGAGTGAGTGAACAAATGAATGAGTTAATGAGTGAATTACCCATCCTCAAAGCATAAAGTAAAATCTGGAGTTTCTTGAGTTGGTCTCCAAGGGCCCTTTAAGGAAAATGAGTTTGGTTAAATTCTTTTAAAAAATTACTTTAATTAAAAACTTTGGATTATTATTACTTACATAACCTTCTTCGTCACGACAAAAAAAATTAGAAGCCATTACTGTTTTATAAAGCAAGAATAGAAGAAGGGAATTAGATCGCAAATCGTTTTGAGTCATGTGAAAAGGACCCTTTTCATTATGCACAGTTTTGTGAAACCGTGATATACATGAAAACATAAAAAAGGAGAATTATTTATTATCATTATTACAGTCCATAAATGGGAAAACTTTTTATTATATTATATGGAAAAAAAAAGGACCGCTAAAGGGTTTACCTTTGTTTTTGAAAATATCTGCAATTGTCCCTCACATGTCACCGCCAAATCAAACAGTCAAACATACCTTTGCTTTTTTATGATATAAGGTGGGTGGTGTCATTTTTAAATTTTAAAGTAAATTCTTACCTTCATCATTACTATTTAAGGTATCTGATGGAGGTGTCCACAGTCATATCAATCATTTAATCCACCTTTTGGAATCTGCAAAAGGCTTTGGTATTTGTGATGCTTATGTGCATTTTTTTGGTGATGGGCGTGATACCGATGCCCCAAAAGTATAAGATCATTGCAATGTATAAAACGTTCGCTGATTTTCTTTTTTCCAATTTTCATATCGTTTTAAAATCATATTAGTTTTCCAGTGTTTTATCTCCCACTTACTACAATAAAGAAAGGCCACTTTCGACTATCATTGTCATCTAAAAAGTTTTTTTTGATGGCTTAATTTCATCAAAGTGGTATATAATAATATTTCATTCTGATACCAATTCAATTATATTTATGATATTTTTTCTTGACAAAAGTGATCTGCGTTCCAAATTGGAACGCACACATGTCTTTTTTCTAATACTAATATATATGTATAAACATGACAAACCTTACTGAAGCTCAAATTTATGCTGAAAAATGCGGGGGGGGAGTCCATATCCAAACTGGTACTACAAATTTGTTATTCTCGTGCGATAGAAACCACTTATGGGTAGAGATCAATTGAAGTTGTTACGAAGAAACACGATTGGTGTCCTCTTTGTCCTCATTCAAAAGGGGAGGTATATATTTGAAGATCTGCTAGGAAGAAAGTTCCCACTTCACGCACCAAAGTTTTTACAAGGAGTGCGTTTTGATGGATACAACGAAGAATTGCAACTGGCCCTTGAATTTAATGGGCATCAACACTATGCTCTCAACCTAATGTTTCATAAGAGTGGGCAAATAGATTTGGGTGAGCGAATAAAGCATGATCAAATTTATCCAAAAGAGAGAGTATATGTCTCATCTCAATACCATATTTCGCAGATATTGAATCTTTTATATGGGAGGCTCTAATAGTCGAAAAATATGTCACAAGAAGTCTAATTACATATATGGACATACAGCAACAAAACCAGACAAAGTGAACATTGGTATTACCAAGAATTTCAGGGATCAATAATGTTCATTTAACATCACAATTGTATTATCAATGTAATGTATGATCATGATATTTGTAGGATTATCTCTAGATAAAAATAGTAAATATGAAGTTAATTTACATTAGGTCTACTATGGAACCCAAAAATTACAGCACAATCAGAAGTATTTTGAAGAAAAAGCAAGGAGAGAAAATTACACCTTACATTTTTAGCAGGTCATATTATCGTAATACTGTCGAAGGTATAAATACATGTATAATTTTCGAGAGTTGAGTTAAAGACATCATGTTAATAACCTCTGAATTAATAACAATAATCTTCTCATAAAAATTATCTCTTAATAAAATTCTTAACTTTTTTGCATCAAACATATTTTTCCGCCTGAAATAAAACAATTACATCTTTTATATAAAACCAACTTATTTACGAAATTCGTTGCTGAAGAAGCAAACTCATAAACCCACCTCTAATTAAAATTGTAATTAGCAGTTTGGCCAACTCTAATCATTAGTCCCTTCGCAAAACGTATATTAAAAGACGTATTACGAAGGTATATGGGAAAAGACTTACCGGGAAAAATAAGCAAAAAGGATTTGCCGAAAAAGTGCAAGCAAATTAGGCTCTTATGAAAAGCGTAAGCAGATTTAGTCTTACGAGAGATGTAAGCAGAAGTGCAAATCATAAATCCGTGAGATCACTATGTCGCACTTGTATATAATATATTGCTGATGCAAGACAGCCTAGATTAAAAAAACAATCAGCCAAGGTTACGTTTTTTATTGGTTGAAGGACTGTAATTAATTGACGTATGTCATCAAAAAAAACATGCGAATTGATTGTTTTCGAATTGGGTGGGTATGATTTATTAAAACAGACAGCTTGTTAATTTATTGATTTATGTGAAATAACAATAAATAAGCATTAACGTATAATTTAAAAAGGTTCATGTGCACTGCTTCTATTATTAGTATTTTTAAATTTTGTGTAAGATATGAAGTGTATTTTATTGAATTAATTCGAATTATATATATGTATATATCATAGAGGAATTATTTGTTTATAAATATACATGTATTAATATCTTATAATTAGTTTTGCAATATTAAATAAAGCCTACGCGAGCAATTATTGTGATGTATTGATATTTTTAATTATACAACTTCTGTTTTTTTGTTGGGATGGATGGATTCCGACATCTTCGTAACTTTCTACCAATAAATGACTCTGTGTAGGATCTTTATATTTTTTGATAACATCTATCAAACAATTAACTCTACGTTCTGAAATCAATGATTGAATTTTAGAGTATCAACATTGCTAATAGAAAATTGACGCATTATGAGGACTTTTTTTTTCACTTTTCCATTTTTTCACTAATTCATAAATATTTTTTCCATTGCTATTTAAACTTTCTTTTACCAACTTTTCCATATTTTCTTGATCTGAAATTTTGTCACTGACAATGTTACTAAATGAGTTGTTTACTGTTTCAATAATTCCTCTGGCACCTCTTGATAGAAATCTTATAGTCTTTCTTCTATTGTATTCTGTCCTAAATCAAACGGAGGTCTTGCAACCTCTAAATATAATAATTCTATATATCATATATCCAAGACAAATTCACACAATCATTTAAGTTTTTTCCTCTTCTCTAACACCAAGACTTTGTACCATAAATTGTAATCAAGACTTACATTATGGTTAAATTAAAAAGTTTGACCTAATATTAATATTAAACAGATGTTAAATATTTGACATTAAAGATTAAGTATTTCTTTGCTCTTGTAAGACAGTTAAAAAAACAAGGAAACCAACGTAAAATCATGAAAAGTGTCTAACATTTGTGAAATCAATATTTCATAATTGCGTATCTCAACAATTACATAACATAATTAAATAAATTTAGATTCCTTTGAAAGGTTATCAAATTACTTTGTTAATAAAAAAAATAGACATGAAAATACTATTGCCAATTTTCTGTAAAGCCAATTCATATCTTTTTGCTAAACTTTTGTCTCTGAAATTTACATGGAATTTTTTCAGACACAAAAATATACATAATCATACAAAAAATTATACCGGTTTGTAACGAAATTTCTGAAGATTGTGTATATAAACCTTCATACATCCAGATTTTCTAGAATTTTGTCTATTAGAAATAAAGGAATTCGATTATTTTGAAAACAATTCAATGCGAAAATTTCTTTAATAATTGCTCTAAAGGTTACATAACAATGTGCTTTTAAAAATTTTATATGTTATCTCTAGTATAATTAATAGTTAAATCCTTGTTAGTACGGTATAAGTTCAATTTTACGAAGTAAATTTGAGCTTAAACTTGTATTTATCCCAGTGGTTTAACTGATTTATCCCCCACTATTTATGCCACTTTTACGTGTAACTTTTTCCACTATCAAGAAGATTTTTGTTGGTGGTTTAATACAAATTGATTTATTCTTTTCTAAAATTTGTATATTTCATCTCGCTTTGCGGAATGTTGCTCCACTATTATCATTACTATTACTAAAAAACTATTACTCATTCTAAATTTGCAAAATAACGATGGTAATTTTAGTATTTAAAAATGGGAGATATTTTTTTAATTTGGTAATATATATTTTTATTGAACATAACTTTACATTGTTCTATTACTGGACTTAATTGTTATAGATTACAAAATGAAAATCCAAGGATCACTGTAGCTAAACTTACTCTTCCAGACATTTCGGATAATGATTCAAAATCAAGCGAAACCCACCAGTCACTACTGAAACAGATAATACATGTGACTTGATGAATGATGATCAAGATGCAATTTCCAGTTCTAGTGATGCATTCAATGATATTTCCGATTTAAAAGATCAAAATTATAATAAAATTGAAGGACAAAAATTTAAATTTATTAAATGTCATGTATGATATTAATATTAACAGTGTTATCAGCGGACGCGGACATGGACATGGACACGGACTGTCCGTGTCTGTGTCCGTCACTTTAAATGTCCCGGACCATTCTTGGACAAAAACCAAAGCAATTCAAAAACGTTTTGTAAACATGCGTTGAAAAATTAGGAGAGGAGGAAAGGAAGAAAAAATGGTTTCCAAACAAAAAGGATCAAATAATTCGGCATTTAATTAATTAAATGATTCTATATTAATAATCCAGAGCCTTGCTTTAGGGTAGAGGCAGAAAGTTAATATAAAATTATTTTTTTACAAATAATTTATTTGTAATAAACATTTTCATAATTTAAACAAATTAATTCTTTTTTTGTTTAATAAACACTTTTATGGTCGGAAATTAAACAGTAGGGTTTAACCTCCATTTGGTTATCAGAGTGGTTAAAGCAAAGATTTTTTTTTTAGATATTTGTTTTAGTAAGAAAGCAAAGGTTTAATTTTTTGGTTTTTGTTAAGTGTAAATGTTTGTTTAATTTTTTGTTAATTGACCACCCTATACAAGCCATTATCACATATTGATTTATTTATTGTAAAGTAATTGTTGCAAACATACAGCTGACTTCAATTGGCCAAAGAAAGTAAAAGTAAAGCAAATAAAAGGAACTCTAGAGGAGCTTTATTGCTTTGCTAATTGTACTATAAAGTGTTTACGGATTCACCAAAGCTTTAAGAAAGAGGTAGTAGACAAAAATTTATATTTTTGTCCAAGAATGGTCCGGGACATTTAAGAAAATGAGCGGACACAAATTGTTACGCGGACATTTTTGGACATTGTTCAGGACATGTCCATGTCCGCTCAATATTAGGTGGACATGTCCCATTTACAACACTGCTAATCGCGGTCGATATCTTTAGCAGTCAAATCTCGTTCAATAAATTTACGGACAGACACATAAGAAAATTGCATTTAAAATCGTTATACCAAAATTTTATGTGAAGCAAAATTATTCGTTGAAAGGAGGTTTACTGTACATTTAATATTAATATTCCTTAATTGTTAAGAGACAATAGTAGGCATGAAACGTAATTAGTGTTTTAACTCATGATGACAGATTTTTTCCTTTGACATAACATCGTTGACATCCTCTTTTCATACAAAAAACATCATTTTCGCCCACCATATCACGATCAAACAACAAAGTATCAAATTTGCAGTGAGAATGACTTGGTGGCTTTCAATCCTTTATTGTTCCATCTTCTTGCAGCTAATATCTGATGCATCAGGAAAATGGTAAAAAAATTATACGACGTACATATACTTATAATCTTTCTGATGATTGGCGTACCCTTATTATTATGGGCTATTCTGATATGCCAGATTCCCGTTCAAAAGCTGGCAAAGTAACAGTATCGTGAATCTAGATATCGAAGCTAACATTTTTAATTCCAGGAACCGATACTAATACTTAAACTTCTACCAGAATCTAAACTTTTGCTAAAATTGGGTGATCTGTTTTTTTTTTTAATTTATATGGGGGCTGTTCTAGGAAAAAGTGGGTTTCGACCCTCAGATTCAAAAATGAGATATTTATACCAAATTAATCTATACCACAAGGATTATAATTTGGTATGATTTTTAATCCATAAAAGTATAATATAAAAATGAGTAAAATAGATTATGAATTTCTTTGATTTTTGGGGCCTTTATGAAAAAGATCTGCAAAGGATTGTGTAACAGATTTTTTTAAAAATTAATAAATAAAAATAAAGCTATATTTATTTAAATTAAGGTTTAGAAAAATGAACATCCTTATAAGGATCTTCAACATGTACTCTTACTTTTTTATATAAATATTCTTTTTTTTCTTTTGACAATGGTTCTAAAGGTAATATACCAATCTGTCTATTTGGTTCAAAATTGGAATTGTTTTTTAAAAGTTGAAAGCATATTTCTTCACCACCAGCCTTTTCTGATACATATACTTTTCCTATATTTTCAGATGCATTATTAAATCTAAAGTGATGATACTTCATTATTTGAGGAAGTGCTTGAAAGTTTCCTTCAAGATAGGATTTAAAATCATACCAACACCAATCAGGTTCTTTTTTAAATAACAATGCATGGTTTGCTTTTGCTGAATTATTTACAATATCTTCAATATTTTCAATAGTATTAATTTTTGCATATTTATACTTTTGTTTAATATTTCCAAAGTATCCATCACATAGAAATTTTGTATGTCCAGGAATCATGAAATTTACACATATTTCTTTATACCAACCTTTCATTATTAACCATGACCAGAACCAAAGAGATAAATTATTTTTATTTTGAGCACCACAATTATCACATGTTATTTGTAATTTTTCTTTTCCAACTCTAGCTA